ACAAGCGCTTGATGTACATCATGGGGGGGATCTTGACCATCATGTCGGACATCTACACAAAGACCCACCAAGCGGTCATCGCTCTGTCCGCTTTGGGCCTTCTCCATGCCGGGCACGGAGTTCCGGAAGACTTGGTGCGGCCTTTTGTCGCAGCCTTCATGGGTGGTATCAAGGAAAACTGCCCAGATGAGTCTATACATGATGGGCTGTGGTGGACGTTGGACCTCATCGGCAGGATCTTCATCCGAACTTTGTCAGAAGGCTCCACGCCAGTGATCATCGCCATCAACAGGAACACATCCAAGGCTATGAAGCTGGCTGTGGCAAACTATCCTCGTGGAGAGCGCGAGGTGATCTTGCTGACGGTTCAGGTGGGCACCGAATCGATGTCTCCTTTGATTTGGGCAGTGGAGAAAGGCGCGCTGGAGTCTGCGAGGGAGATCCTCAACGATTTATTGACCATGCGTGCGGACCGCGCCCGGTACTACTACGGAATGGAGATGCTGTTCACCCGCCACTCGGACATCATCAGCCTGCTTTGCACCAAGGCGCCGTCTCTCCTGCCGACGGTTTTTGATGGACTCATCTGGCGGTCCAAGAATGTGAAGAACGGCATGCGGCGCGCGAACTACTACATCGCGTCTTTGCTCAGGGGCGAAGATGGCCAACTAACAGATTCCCTCCTGGACTTGATCAAGCAGGGAGACCCCGAGATCATCTGTCATCCCACGGTAGTCTTTCAGGCCGATCTTCTCTGGACTCGGCTTTGTTGCTTGCCATGGGCGTTGACAAAGCTGTGGTTCTGTGCCACCCTTGTGGTCTATGTCATGGCAGAGCAGCAAGCTGTGACTTCGAGCGATCCCTTGAGTCAGGAGCGGTTCACCACCATTGTCTGCCGGGCGTTCTTGTACATCGGCAGCCTGGGGCAGCTCTTCGCCAAGCATGCTTACCAGACATACAGGGCAGTTCGCCAGAAGCAGATGACACGCCTCTGCTGCTTGCCGGTGCCGAAGTACGTGCTGCAAACGCGCCAAGAGTTGACCGAAGTTGTACTCATGCTCCTCCTGATGTGTTTGCTGCTTGGACATCTAAATACTAACTTCTCAAGATAATCGACCTTTTCTAGTTTACCGCGGTGAAGAAGTGTGAGCTGCAATTCCACCGAGGTTGTGTTGCGAGCTAGTGCTCCACTGCCTTGCTGTCAGCAGCGAGCTGCTGACAAACTGCTGCGAACACGGGGAATGGCAATGCAATCTGATCCAAGTTTACAACCGCCTCGCCACCTTTCCCATGGTCCTCTACTTCGTTCTTACCTCCGAGTTGGTGCACCTGAATGTCAGTCTCTCCGTCTTCAGCGTGATCTGCTCCTGCCTCATGTGGGAGTTCCTCCTGTATGTAGCAGTCCTGGCATTCTTCGCTGCGGCTTTTGCATCGGCAATTGCTTGCTTGCCTCAAGCTCTGGCTGCTGATTCGGTTCACGAGCGGGACTTCTCCAGTTGGCCCCTGGCGTTTGAGTCTTTGCTGTCCTCTGCCTTCAACGTCTATGGCAGTGACAACTACGAGCAAATCGCGGTCGCGGATGAGCCGATGCTAAAATGGTTTGTCATGGCATTCGCCGCATGCTGGCATGTGTACCTCATGAACCTCATGGTGGCACAGCTTTGCCAGCGCTACAACGACATCTACCACGACGCTCGGGGCAATGCTCGCCTCACGCGTGGAATCAACATCTATGAGACATCCATGCCCCTGATTTCCAAGAAACGTTGGACAGCCTTTGTGGAGTCCTTGCACTTGGAAGAGGCTTGCGAGCTCGATGAGGGTGACAATGGCCCCCGTGGTGCAGTGCCCACTACCGAGGACCCGTACGACTACTTGCAGTATCCAAAGGTGGAGCTGGATCGTGTTCAGCGCTATGGTGGCCTGGCGAATCCAGCACTTCCGTGGCCATCCCTCGATGAGGCTGTGGACGACAGCGCCGTCGGCAAGTTAACACGCATGACACAGGCCAAGTTCGAGGATCACATCTTGCCCGCATTCCTTCATCCCTAGGTACTTATAATAGGCCCCTTCTGTACTTTGCAAACCCCCGCCTGCAGCCTCAAGCTTGCACCCGAAGCAGACAAGCCCCAGACGATGTCTCGCGAGGAGATGGACAGGCTCATGGTGGACATGGCCATCAAACTCCAGGTTCGTCCTCCAGGGACCTCGGGTGGAACCAAGGACTACTCCGCGATGCATTCCGAGAAGCGCAGCCGGACGGGAGTTTGGCATGTTTTTGAAGTTCATCGGTTTAGGGTTTAGGCAGCCGAGCTTCCGCAAGCTGTGTTCGAGTCAGAGAGAGACAGCAAGATAGAGAGGGAGAGATTGTTTGGCCTTCCTGCAGCCAGGCGATGAAAGCAAGATTGCTGAATCTGTTGATGATCACGAACATGAAATCGGCACCGTGAAGGAAACCGAAGTCTCAGAGGAGTTGGCCGTGAACGAGAAAACCATGCACCTCGGTGCGAAGAGTCGAGTACAGTGCAATCGCACTTGTGATTTTACGTGTCGGCTGAAACAATCATATAACTATCAGTGCACCTCCAGTCTGCGTTAGCTCATTAGCGTTTCTGATGCCCACCGCTAGTTTCTGCTCGAACGTAAGACTGGAGTATCAGTGCCATTGAAGCATCGTCGCCACTACCATCACCACCGCAGCATCACCAGCACCATTGTAATTAGCTAAGCACTTCAGATCGATCAGGAGCCTCCCGTGTCAAATTCGTTGTAGATGTTCCCATGTGTGAGCTTCAGTGAGATTGTGTTGATTGGCTTGTGTGGTTGTTGCATACTTGTTCGTGCGGCAGTCAGTGCTTGTGGTCGGGTCGTATCATGGGTGTGCATGTTGCGACGGCTCAACTTGATGACGCCGAAATGCGGTTGCTCTTGATTTCGACCTTGGCCTTGTGGACCATCTTGCACCCGTGTTTGCCAATAGTAGGAGTATCTAGGGCAGCGAGTGCCATAATGCCAGCAGGAACAGAAACAGCATGTAGCAGGAGTAATTATAGTCTCCGTATGTCTCCATTGTGCTGCCCATCTTCTGGATTTTATCTTCAGGATCCTGTAAGCAAAGAGTGAACTACTTGCCGCATTAATGTAGAAGCCAATTTAATTACCAATATTATTCCTTAGGGTTCCTTATTATAGTTAGACTCGAAAAGAATACCATACCCTTATATAGACCCCTTAAAGGAGCTCTGCAAAGGAATCCTGTTCTAATTATAAGGCCCTCTAGACTAATCCTGGGGTCGCCGCGGTGAGCGGCGGCAGTGGTAGTGGTGGTAGTAGTACTAGTATCAGCAGTATCAGCAGCAGTAGCAGTAGTGGTGGTAGTAGCAGCAGGAGGAGGTGGAGGAGCAGTAGAAGTGGTCGTCGTAGTTGTCGTAGTGGTGGTACTGGTACTAGTTCCCAGCGCAACTCAGGAACGAGCTCCTGAACGAGCACACCGATGAAGCCGAGACCTTGACAGAGAACCCCCCTTGACATCAACCAGCGACAATCGAAGTCCTTCTATCGTGCAGAATTAACTCCTTGAGCCCTTTTGTGTTTAATTCGGTGAGCCGAGGCTGGGCGGTGATTCGTGGGCCGGAGTTTGGGCTTGTCACTGTTGTCAGTGGTTTAGATTTTAGATCAGGATGCATGCAAAATACATTGGCAAGTTGCCACGAACAGGTCCACGGGAATCGCAGCTCAGAAACCGGGCACATGTTTGAAACAAGGTGTGGTGCAAGGCAGCCACCAGCCAGTTGGCACCTCTGTTCTGTTGGAATCCAAGGCTTGCAGACAAAGCTTCTTGACAAGGCGCAGCAATGTCTTGTTCTTGAACCCATCCGACCGGTTGTGTGCCGCTGCCGCATTTCAATGCCACCTTTTGAAAATCTGGCGAATAACGCCTGCTGTATGCTGCAATATCCTGTTCACGAACCTTGCGAATGGCTCCAGGGAGCCTTTGCTGAGTGGCCCGATCGCACTGTATAGTACTGTAGAGACTTTGACTCGACGGGCAATGATATCCTTAGGTCGTGTAGGTAACAGCTCGGAGCATGGGACTCACGCGGAGCTGTGGACAAACACGGGCCGCCGCTTTGAGGGAAGGATCCACCCCTAAACCCTAAACCCACCTTAAGCTTGGAACATTGATGCCCGAAGGCACAGTTGCAGCCTCCAGAACCCAGGACTTCTTGCTAGATTCACTCTGTCAATGGTGACGGTATTCCCAACTCACATGATTGATGAAGGCTCTTGATACACACCATCTCGGCTCAAAGCCACTTGCAAATTCACGCCTGACTTCAAAGAGGTCCTTGTCTTGGATAGCTCTTGGCTTCATTTTAAGAGCGCTTCCGAATCCTGCGGCAGGTGATCGAGTTTATGTTTAGGGATCATGCTTTGAACGGTTTGCGTGTTCTGTACACCTTGCAGAGTTCGGCGGCGCGCCACTTTCTCGGACTCGTCTCAGCACCATGGAGGAGATAGACAGGCTGCTTTCCACCATCGAGCTTGACGAGTACACCATCAAGGAGCCCAAGAGACATCTGAGTCTAGAGGTTTTTAGCGGTTGCGACTTATGAGAAGCCCCGCACCGTAGCCTCTGCACCCCGCACATGATGCCGAAAAGGAAGTCCAGAATGGTTGGGAGACGACCGAGAAGCGGTTGGGCGGGCCAAAGGCAGCCGGTGAGGAGGTGTTTACGAAGCTGAGGCGCCTGGGCACTCCAAGAATCAGAGTTTTCTCTTTGATGATGGAAGAAATGACAGTAGTTGCATTCCGGCGCCGCGCTTTACTGAATCAAAGTCGCAGGAACGAACTTCCAAAGACACAGGGCATGCTCACACGATCCAGCACCGTTTGGCATCTCCTGTCGGAGTTGTTGCAATCCCTTGGGCAGCCAAAGGTGGTTCAGAAGCGCCTGGAGTACATCGCCCTGCGCCACATGAATGCGGACATCACCACGGCCGACGTCGAGATCTTCCGCAACATCCTGTTTGAAGTTTGTGCGTCGAAGCTGGGTGGCTTGATGACTCCAGAGTTCCAGTTTGGCCTGGGTCAGATCGTTGTGGCCGTGGGCACTTCCCTGGCCAAGACCCATGCGCACTATGCAAAGCGGCTTCATTTGCTGACATCTTGCTGGAAGGAAGTGAATGTGACCGAGGACGACACCCAAGAGCAACAGGG